CATCACTACAGTCACCACTACAGTCATCACTACAGTCACCACTACAGTCACCACTACTGTCAGTACTACAGTCACCACTACAGTCACCACTTCAATCACCACTACAGTCATCACTACAGTCACCAATACAGTCACCACTACAGTCACCACTACAGTCACCACTACAGTCACCACTACTGTCACTACTACAGTCACTACTACAGTCACCACTACAGTCACCACTTCAAAAAACCACTACAGTCATCACTACAGTCACCAATACAGTCACCACTACAGTCACCACTACAGTCACCACTACAGTCACCACTACTGTCACTACTACAGTCACTACTACAGTCACCACTACAGTCACCACTTCAATAACCACTACAGTCATCACTACAGTCACCAATACAGTCACCACTACAGTCACCATTTCAATCACCACTACAGTCACCACTACAGTCTCCACTATCACAGCTACTGTCGCCACTAACATCACTATAGGCACCACTACAATCAACTTTATCATCGCTGATTATCAAATGGTATACAATACCGACAGGTTGGTAGATAAGACACATAGGCAATATTTAGGCAACTTTATTAGGAAACGTTTCGCTTACACAGTAGGATTCTTCAGTCGAGCACAGAAAGTAGGCAGGAACAGTAGAGATGTGAAGACGATGTAATCAGTCCATCACCCTTGAAGTCGTAGATTTGAGGTTGTCAGTCCCTCAGCCTGGAGAAGTTCTGTTCCAAAGTCTGGAACTAACTGAAGATCAAGCGACAGTGTTAAGACTTAAATATTGTCGGAAGGAGAGGTGCAGTTAGTTCCAGACTTAGGAACAGAACTTCTCCAGGCTGAGGGACTGACAACCTCAAATCTTCGACTTCGAGGGTGATGGACTGATTATCTCGTCTTCACATCTCTACTACTCCCGCCTACTTTCTGTACTCGACTGAAGAAGCCTACTGTTTAGGCGAAACGTTTCGTAATAAAGTTGCCTAAATGTTGCCTATGTGTCTTATCTATTATCATCGCTCCAATACGGTCACCACCACAGTTACCACTATAGTCACTACTATCATCACTACAGTCCCACTGTTACCACTACAGTCACTACTATACTCACCGCTACAGTCAAAATTAGTCACTACTACAATCACTTCTATCACCAGTACAGTCACAATCGCTACTACGGTCACTATTATCACTAGTTCGGTCACCATTGCAGTCACCACTCACCATTACTGTAACCACTCACCATCATAGTCACTACTATTATTTCCACAACTCTTACCTCCACTATAGTACTAACACTATGACAGTTATTACCACAACCACCATTATTGTCACTGCCACTACTACCACCATTATTGTCACTGCCACTACTACCACCATTATTGTCACTGCCACTACTACCACCATTATTGTCCTGCCACTACTACACCATATGTCAGCCACTACTACCACCATTATTGTCACTGCCACTACTACCACCATTACTGTCACTGCCACTACTACCACCATTATTGTCACTGCCACTACTACCACCATTATTGTCACTGCCACTACTACCACCATTACTGTCACTGCCACTACTACCACCATTATTGTCACTGCCACTACTACCACCATTACTGTCATTGCCACTACTACCACCATTACTATCACTGCCACTACTACCACTATTACTGTCATTGCCACTACTACCACCATTACTGTCATTGCCACTACTACCACTATTACTGTCATTGCCACTACTACCACTATTACTGTCACTGCCACTACTACCACTATTACTGTCACTGCCACTACTACCACTATTACTGTCATTGCCACTACTACCACTATTACTGTCACTGCCACTACTACCACCATTACTGTCACTGCCACTACTACCACCATTACTGTCACTGCCACTACTACCACCATTACTGTCACTGCCACTACTACCACTATTACTGTCACTGCCACTACTACCACCATTACTGTCACTGCCACTACTACTCACCTATTACTTCACTGCCACTACTACACCATTACTGTCACTTGCCACAAACACCACCATTACTGTCACTGCCACTACTACCACTATTACTGTCACTGCCACTACTACCACATATACTGTCACTGCCATACTACCACCATTACTGTCACTGCCACTACTACCACCATTACTGTCACTGCCACTACTACCACTATTACTATCACTGCCACTACTACCACCATTACTGTCACTGCCACTACTACCACTATTACTGTCACTGCCACTACTACCACCATTACTGTCACTGCCACTACTACCACTATTACTATCACTGCCACTACTACCACCATTACTGTCACTGCCACTACTACCACTATTACTATCACTGCCACTACTACCACCAATTACTGTCACTGCCCACTACTACCACCTATTACTATCACTGCCACTACTACCACCATTACTGTCACTGCCACTACTACCACTATTACTGTCACTGCCACTACTACCACTATTACTATCACTGCCACTACTACCACCATTACTGTCACTGCCACTACTACCACTATTACTGTCACTGCCACTACTACCACCATTACTGTCACTGCCACTACTACCACTATTACTGTCTACTGCCACTACTACCCACTTACTGTCACTGCCACTACTACCACTATTACTATCACTGCCACTACTACCACCATTACTGTCACTGCCACTACTACCACTATTACTGTCACTGCCACTACTGCCACAATTACTATGACTGCCACTACTACCACCATTACTATCACTACCACTCGTACCACCATTACTATCACTACCACTACTACCACTATTACTATCACTGCCACTACTACCACTATTACTATCACTGTCACTACTACCACTATTACTATCACTGCCACTATCACTATTACTGTCACTGCCACTACTACCACTATTACTATCACTGCCACTACTACCACCATTACTGTCACTGCCACTACTACCACTATTACTGTCACTGCCACTACTGCCACAATTACTATGACTGCCACTACTACCACCATTACTATCACTACCACTCGTACCACCATTACTATCACTACCACTACTACCACTATTACTATCACTGCCACTACTACCACTATTACTATCACTGTCACTACTACCACTATTACTATCACTGCCACTATCACTATTACTGTCACTGCCACTACTACCACTATTACTATCACTGCCACTACTACCACCATTACTGTCACTGCCACTACTACCACTATTACTGTCACTGCCACTACTACCACTATTACTATCACTGTCACTACTACCACCATTACTATCACTACCACTCGTACCACCATTACTATCACTACCACTACTACCACTATTACTATCACTGCCACTACTACTACCATTACTATCACTGCCACTACTACCACCATTACTATCACTGTCACTAGTACCACCATTACTGTCACTTCCACCACTACCCCCATTACTGTCACTGCCACTACTACCACTATTACTATCACTGCCACTACTACCACCATTACTATCACTGTCACTAGTACCACCATTACTGTCACTTCCACCACTACCCCCATTACTGTCACTGCCACTACTACCACTATTACTATCACTGCCACTACTACCACCATTACTATCACTGACACTACTACCACTATTACTGTCACTGCCACTACTACCTCTATTACTATCACTGCCACTACTACCACCATTACTATCACTGACACTACTATCACTATTACTGTCACTGCCACTACTACCACCATTGCTGTCACTGCCACTACTACCACTATTACTATCACTGCCACTACTACCACTATTACTGTCACTGCCACTACTACCACTATTACTATCACTGCCACTACTACCACCATTACTGTCACTGCCACTACTACCACTATTACTATCACTACCACTACTATCACCATTACTGTCACTGCCACTACTACCACCATTACTGTCACTGCCACTACTACCACTATTACTGTCACTACCACTACTATCGCCATTACTGTCACTGCCACTACTACCACTATTACTATCACTGCCACTACTACCACTATTACTATCACTGCCACTACTACCACTTACTATCACTGCCACTTTTACCACCATTACTATCGCTGCCACTATTACCACCATTACTATCGCTGCCACTGTTACCACCATTACTTTCACTGCCACTATTACCACCAGTGCTGTCACTGCCACTACTACCATTATTTCTATCACTGCCACTACTACAACCATTACTTTCACTGCCACTACTACCACCATTACTATCATTGTTACTACCACACTCACTCCTAATATCAATACTATTATTACCAGTACTATCATCACTTTATCTACTGCTGCCTCCTCCGTTACTTTACCACCCGAGCACCGCTACAACCACAACAACCACAATGCAGACACTACTAGCACACTTCAACCACCACTAGCACAATACAACAACTGCCACAACTCAACCACAATCTCCTCTGCAACAGGTACAACACAATCACACAACCACCACAACACAGCAACGACCACCAGCACCACCTCAAAGCGACTAACTCTACTACACAACCACCACCACCACCACCACCACCATTACCACAGAACTACCACCACCACCACACAACAACCCCAACATCACACAATCCACCACGAAAACACAATCACAGCCACCACAACACCACAGTCACAACCACTGCTACCAAACCACAACATCACCACATAGCTACAACCACCATTAACATGATCACAACCACAACCAACACAACCACCACAACAATCACAACCAGCACTGTAACGCAACCACTATAACATCACAACCACCAACAACAAAATATAATAAACCGAGGCTAACATTTGAAGTGTGTGACTGTGTTAGTTTGGGATAATAGACGGAAGCTGTGAAGAAGATGCGTAAGACAAGATAACCAGGCTACGATAACTAAGATAATCATAGAATGAAAACATAGACAAAATAAGATAAAGGAAAAGACAGATAATGTTAGGTAAACTAACCTTTGTAATATGCTTCCCGGTGCATGGACGGACAGTTACCACCCTGAGGAGAGAACACTCTCTTAGTTAACACATACTGGTATCCTGTTTACATATAACGGCGTATTCTTTATACGGGCAGGTAACCCAGTCTTTAAATATACATAATCAATGAAGGACCTCTATCCATGTTTATATGTATACACCTGTATACACAGTCACTTCTTTACACATGTAAACACAACCACGTGTCTACATCACATGTAAACACAACCACGTGTCTACATCACATGTAAACACAACCACGTGTCTACATCACATGTCTACACATGTAAGCACAGTTACTTGGGTGAAATTCCTTGCAGAGTTGAGGCTGTACGGTAATTAACACACCTGTTGCTAACAATCTCTTAGTGGAGACTAAGATTAATTTCGTCAGACCTTGACATAGCTCATCAAGTTTGTTCGGGTAAATAGAATACCTGCTTGCACGTCTCGCTCAACCAGGGATTCTAACCCGGGTCTAGGAACATAGAAGACTGGCTTGCACGTCTCGTTCAACCAGGGATTCTAACCCGGGTCTAGGAACATAGAAGACTGGCTTGCACGTCTCGTTCAACCAGGGATTCTAACCCGGGTCTAGGAACATAGAAGACTGGCTTGCACGTCTCGCTCAACCAGGGATTCTAACCCGGGTCTAGGAACATAGAAGACTGGCTTGCACGTCTCGCTCAACCAGGGATTCTAACCCGGGTCTAGGAACGTAGAAGTGTTGTGTCATCTCTGAAGACAGTTTAACCTTCAATTTAAACTGTCTTCATGTTAAAAAACTTCGTTTCTGAACACATTTAAAGGTTTGATAAGAGTCTAAGTAGATCTGGTATTTTGTGCTGACCCGCATCCTGTTACAGCCTCTCTGTTTAAGCTGTTAGCTTATTTTAGATTAGGTTAGATTATTTTAGATTAGGTTAGATTATTTTAGATTAGGTTAGATTATTTTAGATATACCTAACCATTTAAAACCGAAGTTTAACAAACTGTGTTATATAGGGGATGTTGGTTAATATTAACATCAACCTGGTTAACACATCTACTCTGTAGCAAGCAAGTACGTTGAAAATGCAACGTTCGTGATGTGGATGAGTTGTTTAGTGAGCTGCAGTTACGCTTGTTAGTTGAACACGTTAATGTACAGCCAACCAGCTGTAACACGGTGATCTGATTGGCCCAGAATAATGAGCATTTAATGCTATGACATGTCAGTCATAAATGTTTATGTAATCCTGATAATGACGAGACAGAGAGAGAGAGAGAGAGAGAGAGAGAGAGAGAGAGAGAGAGAGAGAGAGAGAGAGAGAGAGAGAGAGAGAGAGAGAGAGACTATATGACTTACAGCATTAGTGAAGTCAATGTTGGTTCTGACGGGTCTGTGGTGTAGTTTCTGTGGTGGACGGAAGTTGTTTGCTAGAGGTGCACCTGCCTGGCTCTCGTCTTCACCTTGTTTCAGCTGTCGTAGACCATACAACTGTAAAGCACAACACTAATTAGTACACCTGCCTGACACATCTCTCACTCACACTAACGGTAGGCTTGTCTGACACGCATGTCACTAACACTACACGTTCGTATACTTGACACTTGTCATTCATAACACATCTTAGTATATTTGACAGCTGTCACTCACAATACATTTTGTATGACGCCTGTCACTCACGAGGTATAATGATATGCTTGACACAGCTTGCAATCATGCCACATGTTAGTATACCTGACACAGCTGTCAATCATACCACCTCTTGCTGATATAACTGACACAGCTATCAATCACACCTCGTGTTAAAATATGTGAATTTAGAATGATTTATAAGTCACTGCTATATACTACGCTTAGTTTACATACATCTTTCACAAAGACACCTTCACTTCTCTCTCTAGTCATTCCAACAATATTTCTCAAACAAATATTCACCCCTCACATAACCTCACATTATGTGCTAATTACAAAGGCATTTTATCATTATCATATAACACGAAACACACAAAGTTAAATGCTAGCCACATCATTACAATAAACACAACAAACATGGGTATACACACACCAATAAATACAATAAATGAACACCATCCTAAGATAATTAAGATAATTTTATTGATATTAGAATTATCTGGTTTGATTAGTCTCAAGAGGAGAAAATAACTACATTATGAAAGGTTCAACTAGTGTAAGATGGGACAGTAAGTCGTCTAGGTTCATTTTGAACACTGTCATCAAGTCTTGGAGCCGTGTGATTATTGGTTTCAGAGTTGTATGAGGTAACAGTCAAGATGTTACACTTGAGGTTACAGATGTTCACAAGTGTCCTCTTCACTAACACAAGCGTTCATTTTAAGTCTCTGGGCATAAAGTAAACCGATGAAGGGTGTCACATTTGTAGTACTTACAAAAATTGGTCACCTCAGTCTCCGGCGTACTTAGAAAATCGGTCACCCAAGTCTGCGATGTACTTACAAAATTGGTCACCTCAGTCTTCCAGGTTTGTGCAAGTTTGGTCAAGAAGTTTCCTAGAGTTAAATAAAAGAGATTTAGATAACTGTTTCTTACGTACATGTAAATAAAAAGTCTAGATCTGGAAGTCCTGTAGGAGATGGCTTGTTTTAGTAAGTCTGTGAGTCACAGTTATATGATGAAAACGCTGGAAAGATGGCTTAGGGCAGGCTGGATGCACCATACATAGCTCTGCAGAGACTGGATGCACCATACAGGGCTCTACACAGGCTAGACACACCATACATGGCTCTGCACAGGCTGGATGCACCATACAGGGCTCTGCAGAGACTGGATGCACCATAGAATCTGTTTACAAAGTTGTGTCAAAGAGAGTTTTGAGTTGTCCCATGTCAGCTCTCAGATGCTATGTCAGCTCTCAGATGCCATGTCAGCTCTCCGATGCCATGTCAGCTCTCCGATGCCATGTCAGCTCTCAGATGCCATGTCAGCTCTCAGATGCGAATATATAAATTTCCAGTACGATATCCCCTCGGAGTTTGCTTTTGCCTCGTCTACCAAAGATAACTAGATTAGTCTTGTAGAACTTTGTGCTGCTACAGAGGGCGCCTGTCGTGAGAGAAGGTCAGGTCAATGTTCTTCAGTGGTCAGGTCAAAGTTCTCCGTGATTGTCTGAGGTGAAGAACGCGATAGTCAGAGTTCCAGTACTGTCGGCTGGATACGTAAACCTGAATAAGGAAAGCTGGATACGGTGCCTTGGATGTTGAAATGACGATACATAAGAACAGAAAATGAAAGCTGGATACGGTTCCCTGGATAAAGAAGAGATGGTGCATAAGAATGGAAACTGGACACGGTGCCCTGGATAAAGAAAAGAGTGGAAGCAGATACATGGACCTGTATGATTAAACACGCCTGGAACCGGATAATGAAATCTGGATACATGGAGCTGCACTAGGAAATCCTGGACACATGGATCTGAAGTATTGACTCCTGGATACACAGATCAAAACAGCGGCGACCTGATGCATATTAACCTATATGGTTCTGGATACATAAGCCTGAAATATGAAATCTGGATACATGAAGCAGGTTAATTGAGGCTGGAAACAAATCTGAAATATTGATAATGAATTGTGAAAACTGTATCTGGTTAGTAAAGGCTGGATACATGGACCTGGATAATGAAGACTGGATGCATTCACTTAGCCAGGATATTCATAGCTGGATATGAAGACCTGGTTAAAAGAGATCAAATATGTGAACCTGGGTAACTGATACTGGATACATGAACCTGGATAATAAAGACTGGATAAATGAGCCTGGATGATAAAGATTGGATACTTGGGCCTGGATAATAAAGACCGAATACAAGGACCAGATAATAAAAACTGGATACAAGGATCTGGATAATAAAGACTGGATACTTGGGCCTGGATAATAAAGACTGGATACATGGACCTGGATAATAAAGACGATATAAGGACCGCGATATTAAAAACTAAATACATTGACCTTGATAATAGAATGAATACATAAGCCTGGATAATAAAAACTGGATATTAAGGACTGGATATATGGACCTGCTTAATAAAAATTAATACATAGAATTGGATGATGATGACTGGATACATGGACTGGATGATGACTGGATACAATGACCTAGTAAAAGATACTGGATAATTAAGACTGGATGCAATAACCTGGTTAACAAGAGCAGGATACGTAGTTAAGTGTAACGAGAGCTGGATACACGGGGCGTGATAACAAGGGCTGGATACACGGGCCTGGATAATGAAGAAGAAAGATACGGGCCTGGATAATGAAGAAGAAAGATACGGGCCTGGATAATGAAGAAGAAAGATACGGGCCTGGATAATGAAGACTGGATAAAAATGAAAGAAGTAATTAAAGGATGCAAACCTGAAAGTGTATATAAAAAAAGCTGGATAAGGAGACCTTGTATACTTGATGTTGGATAATCAAAGACTTGTAGCTGAGACTCGGATACCTGGAACTCCATAAGTAGAATAGGATAATTGATCGTTAATTTTATAACAGGATAAGTGAAGGTTTATCCTGGGCTCGGGGAATGCACTCTGGGTCTGAAAAAAACAAAGGCTACATTATGATAATGGAAGTTGGATAATATGGAATGGAAGTCAAGTGGGATAAGTGGGATGTTTATTTTGTGAAGTGGTATCCCAGTCTGGGAGAGTTGAGACAGTCTGGGTAGTGTATCCACTTTGGATATAACACGTTCCGGATATGCGACATCTGTATAACATTCTGGAATAAACGAAACCTGGATAATGACGTCTGTGTAGTAGCACCTGTGTGCAACAGAATACAGGAGTTGAGCCATCAGACACAGTCAGTTAAACAGGCTTGTTAATCCAGTCATGGCTGTCAAACAGGCTTGTTAAGCCAGTCATGGATGTCAAACAGGCTTGTTAATCCAGTCATGGATGTCAAACAGGCTTGTTAATCCAGTCATGGATGTCAAACAGGCTTGTTAATCCAGTCATGGATGTCAAACAGGCTTGTTAATCCAGTCATGGATGTCAAACAGGCTTGTTAATCCAGTCATGGATGTCAAACAGGCTTGTTAATCCAGTCATGGATGTCAAACAGGCTTGTTAATCCAGTCATGGATGTCAAACAGGCTTGTCAGGACAGTTGTAGCTGTCAAACAGGCTTGTCAGGACAGTTGTAGCTGTCAAACAGGCTGGTTAAGCCCACTCATACCATAATCAGTTATGATTGTCAAGACCATTAAAAATTATGACAAACCTTTGCTTTGACCTTTGTTTTACCTTCAGCAAAAAACGAAACAAAGGTCATTCACATTCTTCACACTCATATCACTGGTGTTGTCTGACAGACACACAACAATCACTGGTGTTGTCTGACAGACACAACAATCACTGGTGTTGTCTGACAGACACACAACAATCACTGGTGTTGTCTGACAGACACAACAATCACTGGTGTTGTCTGATAGACACACAACAATCACTGGTGATGTCTGACAGACACACAACAATCACTGGTGTTGTCTGACAGACACACAACAATCACTGGTGTTGTCTGACAGACACACAACAGTCGCTGGTGTTGTCTGACAGACACACAACAATCACTGGTGTTGTCTGACAGACACACAACAATCACTGGTGATGTCTGACAGGCACACAACAATCACTGGTGTTGTCTGACAGACACACAACAATCACTGGTGATGTCTGACAGACACACAACAATCACTGGTGTTGTCTGACAGACACACAACAACCACTGGTGTTGTCTGACAGACACACAACAATCACTGGTGATGTCTGACAGACACAACAATCACTGGTGATGTCTGACAGACACACAACAATCACTGGTGATGTCTGACAGACACACAACAATCACTGGTGATGTCTGACAGACACACAACAATCACTGGTGATGTCTGACAGACACACAACAATCACTGGTGATGTCTGACAGACACACAACAATCACTGGTGATGTCTGACAGACACACAACAACCACTGGTGATGTCATGGAAAGCACTACCACAATCACATCCAAGTATTGTTAACTCTGGATAACTGAACTCAGGTTATTGTAGTAAACTAACGTCTCATTGTTAACGAAGGTTAAACTGTAACAACATAAAATATATACTGATAAATTACTAATACTAAGAGCTTAAGGCATTATTATACAGAAAATGTTACAAATTACTACTAATAATAGAAATAATATACTTGCAGGCGTAAAAAACAGTAAAGTCTGAAACAGAAAATTGTGTAGTATTGAATAATAATAATAATAATAATAATAATAATAATAATAATAATAATAATAATAATAATAATAATAATAATAATAATAATAATAATAATAATAATAATAACTGCTAATAGTGTAACTCAAGGATGTCAAGCAGTAGGGATTTAATATTAATAAGTATGCTGGCAGTAGAATTAAAATAGGATTTAATTCCATTAGTCAGTTGCAAATTTTCAGGGTGACATCAACTGAGTGAGGTGAGGGAGGGAGTGAAGGAAGAGGGGAAGAAGAAGGGGAAGGTTAGAGAAGGGAAAGAGGAAGGATGGTAATGTGGGGGTAGAAGGAAAATTAGTGTTAAGAAAGATAGTGTACAGGGAAAAGAGGAGAGGGAGGAATATAATAACCAAGAGGGAAAATTAAATTAAAGTTACAGGGTAGTTCAGGAAATGGGAGAAGGAAGACGATACAAGGTAGATTATGTTTGAGGAAACAAGAGAAGAGAAGAGGAAGATGGTGCAGAGGGAAGAAAAATGGGAGATAGGTGAGTAGGTCATCTTGCTGATCCCAGAGTAATGGAAGTGGATCATCTCCCAGTCAACATCTGAGTCCACTCTCTTAAACTACTCGTGACAAGAAGCTGTATATATCGATGCATGGACAAAACTGTGGTCACATATATTGGCGATAAACATTCAACAGTTACTTGTGAAAAAGGAACGGTTAGTGATGAAAAATAAACAGTTAATAATGAATGAACAGTGATGAATGTTGTACAGTTAGTGATGAAGAAACGAGTGAATGAACGACAGGACTTGGGTGTAGGAGACCAGAGTGTACCGTACACTGTACCTCTACACTACACTGTACCTCTACACCCTCTACATCTTTCTCTACACTTCTTAACCCCCCCTACCCTACAACACGATCCTTTACACCCCTACCATGCTCCACCATTACCTTTTACACCCTTTCTATACCCCACCAACATTACCTTGTACACCCAGCCAACACTATATACCTCACCAACACTGCTACGCCTCACCAGTGCTACCATCCTACACCCACATCTCCATCACGCTAAAGGCTACCGAATACGCAGAGTCATTAATACTAGCTACCATTCAATACCATAGTAATTACCCCTCAATACCCTCGGTAACTACCTACACTATCCGCACTAACTATCCACATTAACTATCCTGAAGCTTCATTAACCTTGGCAGGTCATCAGGAAATATCCTCACCTTAACGCTGTGAAACTCAGTTGTAAACCTTTCCAGTTTTTATGGGAAGATTTATATAGCAATGTTTATGATGCTTCTAGGGTAGTGTTTATAGGAAGACGTAAAGGTGAGATACGCTGCCACTAACTGATATTAACCTTTATTAATTAGGGCAGGAGTAGCAGCAAAGGTAATCCAGGGAGGAGTTATGATTTTAATTACTCCACAGGTAGCTTCCCTCCCTCCCTGGTATACCTGAGCAGGGGGAGAGGGAGGGTAGGCAGGTAGAGAGGAATAGGAAGGTAGGCATATTTTCTTTCCTCTCTCCCCTCATCTCTTTTTTCTTCCTTTCTCATTCTCTCTCTTTCTCTCACTCGTGCGAACATTGTCTTCTCTCCCCGGGTTCCTCCTCATTTTCTCTTTCTTAATTTCTGTCATCTGTCTTTCTATTCTGTTGATCTCTCCATCCTTTTATTGATCTTCCTATCATTTACCTCCCGTTCATCCTGTTGCCATATCCATCCTTCTGTTGACATTTAAATCTTTTGTTTACCTATTTCTGTTCACTCTCTTTCTGTTTACAATTGTCGCATGTTTTCCCACGTTCGCTTTCTACTTTATTCTGCTTATCTTACTGTCTTTTGTTTACTTATTTCCCTACTTCCATTTTCTTCCTTTCTTCCTAACTCTATCCTTCCCCCCCTCCCTCCCTCCCTCACTTGTCGTCTCCATCACCACCCCTCCTCTTTCATCCCTCCCCCATCGATTCTCCCTTCAACCCACCCTCCCTTACCCATCCCTTTCCGTCGTTCTTCACTCCCTATCCATCATTTCCCCTACCCATCCTCCCTCACTCCATCCTAACTCTTACCTACCCAGCCTCCCTCACTCCATCCTATCCCTTACCTACCCATCCTCCCTCACTCCATCCTAACTCTTACCTACCCAGCCTCCCTCACTCCATCCTATCCCTTACCTACCCATCCTCCCTCACTCCATCCTAACTCTTACCTACCCAGCCTCCCTCACTCCATCCTATCCCTTACCTACCCATCCTCCCTCACTCCATCCTATCCCTTACCTACCCATCCTCCCTCACTCCATCCTATCCCTTACCTACCCACCCTCCCTCACTCCATCCTATCCCTTACCTACCCATCCTCCCTCACTCCATCCTATCCCTTACCTACCCATCCTCCCTCACTTCATCCTATCCCTTACCTACCCATCCTCCCTCACTCCATCCTATCCCTTACCTACCCATCCTCCCTCACTCCATCCTATCCTTACCTACCCATCCTCCCTATCATGTCACCTACCCTGCCATCCCTATCAAACCTTGCCAAGCCTCCCTCACCCTCTTCCCTCCCTCACTTCCCCCCCTCCCTCTTCCCTCCCTCACTTCCCCCCCTCCCTCTTCCCTCCCTCACTTCCCCCCCTCCCTCCTCCCGTGCCTCACCTGCTGCTTGGTAATATAGATAGGTCGGTTAAGCATGACCCAGGTGACGGTCTCATGACAGGCAGGCATAGTGGTGGACCCTTCGTAGGTCATGAAGTAGGCTGTGTCGGGCAGCAGGTCATGAACACTCAGGTGATGTACAGTGTACTGCTCACCTGTGGGGGAAGGAGACCACTTGAATTAGTACACCTGACTTGACGTACCTGGTACCTGGAAGGGGAGAAGAGAGACAGAGAGGGGGAGAGAGAGAGTGAGAAGGGGAAAAGGAAGAGAGGGAGGAAGGGAAAGAGGCAGGTTAGTATTACAATGTACACAAAAACTGCCACACACATACACAAACAGCCTGGTGCATCAAGGGTAATATAATATGTCTGTGACCTCCATAGTCCTGTAATAACTCAGTTTTACTCTTGAAGATCACTGGAGGTTGTTAACGACCCCTGAAGGGTGTTAACGACCCCTGGAGGTTGTTAACGACCCCTGGAGGTTGTTAACGACCCCTGGAGGTTGTTAACGACCCATGGAGGTTGTTAACGATCTCTTGAGGGTCTTAACTACCCCTACATGGTGTTAACGACCCCTGCAGGGTAGTAACAATTCCTGAAGATTGTTAATGACCCTGGAGGGTGTTAACGACCCCTGGAGGGTGTCAACGACCCCTGGAGGGTGTCAACGACCCCTGGAGGGTGTTAACACAAAAAATAGCATGCGAACCGTTACACTTTCAACCAATCAGCATGCGAACCGTTACACTCTCAACCAATCAGCCGCCAGGCGCCACATCATCCATGATTTAAACAGCCTCTTTTAGCTCGAATTCTATCCAGTATATACTGTTTTTTAAACCCAGACTGATGATCCAGTTAAACCAGGACTGATAAGCCGGTTAAACCAAGTCTGATGAGCTGGTTAAACAAGGACTGATGAGCCAGTTATATATCTATTTAAACGTATATTGATGGTCCAGTTAAACCAAGATTGATGGTCTACTTAAACCAATATCAATGGTTTACTACTTAAACCAAGATTGATGGTATAGTCAACACCGGGCTAGCGGATCATTTAAATACGGACTGATGATCCAGTTAAACCGGGACTTGTCAACCATTTAAACCCAGGAATGGTGGACCATTAAAAGACAGACATTTGATCAATTTAAACCCAGGATTGGTTGACTAGTTAAACCACGGACTGGTGGCCCATTTAAACCCGGACTGGTGGTGGCCCAATTAAACCCGGACTGGTGGTGGTTTAATTGACCCCAGGTTGGTGGTGCTATTAAACCCTGCCAGATGGCAGAGTTAAACCTAACAACTGCGCTTGGGTTTATGACGCCAAATCCTTATCATAATTTGTATTTTAATTTAGATTTAGTCAACAGTTCAACGGCAAAACAGTCCAGTTTTTTCTGTTTATAAAACGGTCGATGAGGAAGAGGATTTTGGTCATCCGATTATTGACATAAACCCATAAAAAATGTAAATATATGTAGATCCCAGGTGCCAGGGTCACGGTACTGTTGGTGTCACGGTATTGTTGGTGTCACGGTACTGTTGGTGTCACGGTACTGTTGGTGTCACGGTACTGTTGGTGTCACGGTACTGTTGGTGTCACGGTACTGTTGGTGTCACGGTACTGTTGGTGTCACGGTACTGTTGGTGTCACGGTACTGTTGGTGTCACGGTATTGTTGGTGTCACGGTACTGTTGGTGTCACGGTACTGTTGGTGTCACGGTACTGTTGGTGTCACGGTACTGTTGGTGTCACGGTACTGTTGGTGTCACGGTATTGTTGGTGTCACGGTACTGTTGGTGTCACGGTACTGTTGGTGTCACGGTATTGTTGGTGTCACGGTATTGTTGGTGTTATGGTATTGTTGGTGTCACGATATTGTTAGTGTCACGATATTGTTGGTGTCACGGTCTTGTTGGTGCCACGGTATTGTTGGTGTCACGGTATTGTTGGTGTCACGGCACTGTTGGTATCACGATGTTGTTGTGTCACGGTATTGTTGGTGTCACGGTACTGTTGGTATCACGATGTTGTTGTGTCACGGGATTGTTGGTGTCACGGTACTGTTGGTGTCACGGTATTGTTGGTGTCACGGTACTGTTGGTGTCACGGTATTGTTGGTGTCACGGTATTGTTGGTGTCACGGTATTGTTGGTGTCACGGTATTGTTGGTGCCACGATATTGTTGGTGTCACGGCACTGTTGGTGTCACGGTATTGTTGGTGTCATGGTACTGTTGGTGTCACGGTATTGTTGGTGCCACGATATTGTTGATGTCACGATATTGTTGGTGTCACGGTATTGTTGGTGCCACGGTATTGTTGGTGTCACGGTATTGTTGGTGTCACGATATTGTTGGTGCCACGGTATTGCTGGTGTCACGATATTGTTGGTGTCACGGTATTGTTGGTGTCACGGTATTGTTTGTGTCATGGTATTGTTGGTGTCACGATATTGTTGGTGTCACGATATTGTTGGTGTCACGGTCTTGTTGGTGCCACGGTATTGTTGGTGTCACGGTATTGTTGGTGTCACGATAATGTTGGTGTCACGGTATTGTTGGTGTCACGGTATTGTTGGTGTCACGGTATTGTTGGTGTCACGGTATTGTTGGTGTCACGGTATTGTTGGTGTCACTGTACG